AAAAATATCGTTTGAAATGTGATGAAAGGACATTTATTGAGAATATTTTCAGTTTCCTACTTAGATCGATTTTTTATTTGGTCCTTGAATTCTTGTGGATTTTTTTATTTTGGTCCTCAAATTTTAACCTTTGATGTTTTTTGCCCATTTGTTTTGGTTTTTTTTATTTAAGATATCAATTTTTGTTCGAGTACAATATATGGAGGTTAAAGATTCGAACTCATAAATTTCTAATCGTATATTAAACTCATTGAGCTAAGTTCAGGTTATGAGTTCAAATCTTTCCATCTCCACATTTATTCTAAATCTTTTATTAAAATTTTATATATGGTCACTATGATATATGATAGATAGACCGTGCATTTGGCTATTTTTAAGGCTTGTTTGGAAAATTTTTTAGAATAAGTGATTTTAGAAAAGGATAATTGATTTTGTGAAAGTTATTACTATATAATTATTTTAATGTCTTTGTTTGGTATACTCTTTTTAAAGTGATTTTTATATAATTAAAAGTGATTTTGAAGGATTAATATTTTGAGTTTAAAGAGAGAATTTGGCAAAAAAAAATTAAGAAAGAGNAAAAAAAAACAATTCAAAGACAGAAATAAACTTAGAATTAGATGAGATTTAAATTTAAAGAGAGATTAAAAAATTTTAGATTATAAAAAACTTATAACAAAATTAAAGATAAATAAAGTTAGAGGGAGACAAAATTTTTAGAAAAATTTCTCAAATTTTAAATTGAAATAGAAGCACAATTTTGAAATTTAAAATAATAACCATTTCAAAAATTAATTTCCTATTATTTTACCAAAATCACTTAAGAAATCACCTCCCTAGTGAAAGTGGTTTTGGATTTTTATAAAATTATCTTAGAATTATTGTAAAAAACATACCTATTTAAAATTAAAGTGATTTTAATATTAGTAAAAGTACGTTAAAATCATTCTCAAACATGCACTGAATAAATTAAACCGGTTTTAATAAGACAAATGTCCAAAAAGGGGAGCCGATGAAAGTTAGTGGACAAGAATTGAAATTTTTAAAAATTAAAAGGGGAAAAGTGGGTGAAAACGTAAATACTAAATTCAATCTTTTAAAAACATTATTCTATTTTTTTAAAATTTTATTTGATTTATTGTTTGACCAAAATAAATGTGTTAATTGCGCTACCATTTTAATTCATAAGAGAAATTTCCACAAATGAAAATTAATAATAACTTTGAAACGACTTTTGAGAGCCAAGCTTTCAAGGGAAGGAGTTGTTTAAAGTGTTAAAAACTTTAAATTAACCAAAACTATTTTTCACAACTTCAAAAATTATTTGGAACTCTTAAATTGTATTTTAAATAATATTATATTCTATCAATTCCCATAGGAATATTAATTCAAAAATAAATAACAATAATGTTAATATTAATAATAAAAAAAGTTGTGATTTATAAACTTTAAACCGTGTATAATAAGTATTTGAATTTGTGTTGAATAAATTTTTAAAATATTAATTTTATGTCTATATATATTGAAAATTTACGAACTTATTGGCTATTTTTAAAATTTGTTTATACTGAATTTTGAGTCTAATATCCGGGGTGAACTTCCCGAATGAGCTATCAAGAATGAGCTATGCAAGAAGACATGCACATAATAAACAAACACTCCAATGCTCGAGTTAGTTTAAAGTTTGAACTAGAAGGTTGGTTCCATACAAAATTACCTACCTGCAGTAGTGAATGAATGTGTATTTATAAGACTCGGGGGAGAGTACGTGAAGTTCCAACCATTGTGGAGTTTGTTACACGAGTATTAATTGGTTCTGCACCATAGCTCGATCATAATATTTGTAGAAACATTCTCTGGTAGAGTAAGCTTCATAGATTAGTGTACTTGTCATAGATAGATAACCTGTCTTAAGTCGAGTTATTGAGCTTGATAAACGTAGAGATGAACGAGTGAGACATGATCATCCCTTCTCATTAATCCACGTGGCATGCTATACTTTCATCTTCCAACAAAGTTCAACTACTAATTAAGCATCCCCAAAACAAGCATCACTAATTGACATATATCTATATTTACAACCAAGAGGTTGTAAGTTCGATTCCCCATCGCACATGTTATATTAAAAAAAAAAACCATATTAGACAATGAAAGTTAAAAAACGAAACTTATGATTTAACCTAATAATTTATTATAAGTTGATGTGGAATTCGACCTATCCTCCCTCTCTTTTTTGTTTTTTGGTTTTTTTTTTAACTTAAAAAAGAAGGCAATGAATGAATAAAGTTCTACATTTGATATTTAAGAAAGCCCAATTTTATGCGTTGGTAGGCCTAATGGGTTTTGATGGGTAAACAGAAAAGGCCGAAAGTTATAAGGCCCATATTGTCACGCTGAACTCATCAACCTTGAGCCCAATAGGCCCTCTTGCAATTTGGAAGCCCATCTTCATCAAAATATATATATATATATATATATATATATATATATATATTCCTTTGAGGTTGATATTAGTACTTTTCGATCTCCATAAACAATAAAATGTAGAGAGTAATTCCAAGAATATTTGAGAATAATTAATTTTTTTGGGTGTTCAATGATGAAGTTACACCAAGAGACTGTGAAAACTAAATTATTTGTAAACTGAATCAGTGATAATTATTTTTTTTATATCTCATCCTAAACTTCTTATTTACCAAAAGAAACTAACCATTGATTCGTTAGTGCCAACATGTCTATTCGTCCACTCTAATTTCATTACAATAGATGAGTGATCTTAAATTAGGCCTATCTCCAAATTCGTATAAACATCTAATCAAGCTAGTATTCCGATAAAATTTTGATGACCTCCTTACGAAGACATACATGTTTATTACATCATATTGCACTGAACTTTCTCACTTTAACCTATGTTTTATACATATCTTGCTTTGGTATGCAAATTAAGTGTGATTGTCTGACCTTGTTCGGCGAGTATTTTTTAAATCGGCAACCTTGTTAAGTTAAGTTAATGAATATTGACAGTTTTTTTTAAAATGCTACATTATTATAATTACTTTTTAAAAAATGTCACACCTAATTAAAACAATAAATGAATAAGTCAAAATGAGCATAACTTAGCGGTAATTAACATATATTTACAACTCGTGATTTCGATCTTCCACTCCAGTTGTACTAAAAAATAATAAATGGAGAAAAATATTAATGTAATAAGCAAATTGTGAATAATAATCCTAACTAACTAAATGATATCCTAACCAAAACAAATCCTAACTAAAGAGCTGACTATGGACTAAATCTATATAACTCAACAAATACATCTAATATCAAATGTTCAATTAAAACAACATTCCAACATATTTATAGCAACATTTATTTCAGTATATATTTATAAATATTTTAGAAAGGAAACCTCCCCTCTCAAATTTTCACAAAAAAAAAAAAATAGTAATAATAATAACAACAACGAATAAATAAAAATTTTAAAAATTCTTATGCATCAGAAGCAATCTTTTAAATGTGGATATTATTGAAAATATTGAGATCTTACCCTTATGAAAATGTGGATGAAAATATAATAAAACGATGAATATTTTTGAAAAAAATAATTATAAATTTTTTTCCTTAAATTAACCCGTAAGGATTTACCATTTTTTGAAAAGTTACTATTTTAGTCTTTGTAATTTTAGTCTTGGTTCATTTTAATCCTTGTACTTTAAGAATGTTCATCTTGGTCCTTGTATTTTTAACTTTGATTCATTTTGGTTCCTATACTTTTAAATAGTGATCATTTTAATCCCTCTTTACAATTTTTTAACACAAATTTTACACATAACGGAAATTCTTTAGTACAAAGTAATGTTTACATTTTAAGAAATACATTGATTGTAATGTCGTATTAAAATTGTGATAGAAAAAATGTGATAAAAAATAAAATCAAGGGACAAAAATAGTCACCATTTTAAAAGTACAGGAACTAAAATGAACATCTTGAAAGTATACGGACTAAAATGAACAAAAAGTTGAAGGTACAATGATAAAATAAACATTTTCAAAGTATAGGTACCAAAATGAATCATAGTTGAAAGTATGAGACCAAACTAGTATCTTGACCTTAATATTATGTCCAGTAGTATTTTGTTATATTTTATCGATTTCTTTTACTTTATAATGAAAATGTCGATTGACATGAACTTTAACCTATAATAATAATTATATCTCAATATTTTCAAAAAAAAAATTATATCTCAATAAAAATTTAATACCCCGATAGAAATAAAAAATCAATAAATATTTATACTTGTTAAATAGTTCAAGTAATTAGGCACTAGTATTTAAAAAAAAAAGCAAATATATATATATTCAACCACAAATACTTCTTCAAATTCCCACCCCATATTTTATTGAGCTAAAAAAAAAGCCATTCTTCAAATCTCATCTTCATATTTATAATACAATAATATTCTAAAAAAAAAAACTCCATATATGTGGTCCTCTTTATTTTACATTCTCATTTATTATAAACCATTTGAAATTTCATTAAATTCTAACTCACAAAAAAAAAAAAAACAGTTTGAGAAATTATGCAAAATAAACCACCAAGTTATTAATTTTTTGAATCAACAATATTTTTAGTATGCACGTTAATGGAGCAAATACTAAAATAATCAAAGGAAAAAAAAAATAGCCGAAAAATTTTCCTTATCAATGCAATAAATAACAGCTTAAGGAGGAAGAACGAACCCCCCGCCATAACGTATTCCTCATTTTCCTCCATAAGTTTCGTATTTTCAATTCCTAATTTACCCTTCTCCTTCATCCAATATTATCGGTTACTTCTTGGTTTTCTCTCGCATCACTGTCCTCTTAATTGGGAGTGGTTAGTTCTAAAGCTTCATCTTCTTCTTTTATAATCTTTTTTTGCCCCCTTTATGATTTTTTTGGCTTCTTCATTCATCTCTCCCTCTATCTTTAAAGTATGTTTATGTACTTTCTTTTTTTTTTCTCCCCCCTTTCTCATGCTTTTTATAAATTTCTTTATAAAAACTGTTTATTCTGTCATATCATCATCTGGGTTGTTTGCATTTCCATATTCTTATTTCAATAATACACATTTGCACTTACGGATTTAGTAATCAAATAATGGGACAGTATTGGGGTATCACTATTGTGTTTGGTAATTCCATTAATTTCTACTTTCTTTCTGCTGTGATTTGTGATTTTCAATGTGGGGTTTCTTTATTATAATGGATGGGGGCATTTGAGCGTTTGGGCATTTGGGACATTTCTTTTAGATTTTTCTTTCTTCTTTCTTTCTTTTTGTTTTTTGGGTTTGTTTGAAAAATCTGCAACTTTTGAAATCTGATACAGTGTCAGATAATGGGGAAATTGGGAGGAGAAGGAGAAGAAGAAGAAGGGAAAGGACCTTTTGGCTTTGTCAACATAGAGGGGACATTTTGTTTAATACCCATTAGATATCTTTGGAATGTCAGGCAAAGGTCAATAGCTCTGTAGTAGGCCTGAAACTTTCCCAGTGAGAGATTTATTGCAATGGCCTAAAAGGGAAGCTATTTTTATCACCTTTTTTTTATCCTAGCCTCTGTAGGTAAAAGGTCTGGCTTGTGTGTTGTTTCTTTGGGTTCTCAGCCCCTTGGTTCTCTCCTCTGAGAGGAATTCATGGCTGTGACAGCTTTGTTGTACCATTTGCTTTTTTGGGTTTTTGAATCTCTACCTTATTACTGGGAGTTATTTCCAGCTGCTCAGGTAGTTGTGGTGTTTCTTGTTATCTCAGTTCTGAACTTCCAATTTGCATGATGTGAACTTTTTCTGTTGTTCTTGGCCATCTGTGACTATTTTGCATGCAGTTCAGCTTGTTTAATCTTTTATTGTAGTTCTGTTTTACTTGAGATTTTATATCACACAGTGACAATGCTTGTATCCTAAATCAAAGGAATTGTGGAAAGATAATCTTGGTGACTGGAAGAGAAGGAAAAAAGGGAGAGGACTTTCTGGTTTTTCAAGACAAAGCTCTCTGTAAAGGTCAATCTCTATGTTTTTGTCCAGTTTTCTTCTTACTGTTATGTGTTCTCTGTGAGCTGCCATTTTTTTTTTTCCAATTCTGCCCAGTTTTCATTTCTGATTCTGAGGGAAATGGTTTGAGAATAATCTTAAAAGTATATAACACTCATATTCTCAGGGCATTCTTCAAGCCAAAACACCAACACCACCATGACGATTGCACCACGAAGTTGCATCTTTTTCAGAATTTCTTCAATATAGCAATCACCTAGTCTAGAGATATTGAATTCGACCGCTTGAGGACAGATTCTAGCTCTGATTGCCCCTTGTAGACCCTTTTGGATTGCTTATAACCTCAGTTTCATCAACATCTTTGATGTAGAGTATCTATTTAGCTAAGGTATGAATGACCTCCCCTTCAGCATTTTTTGATAACTGCTCCTACTGTCAATCTTATTAGGGCCAGACTGGATAGAAGTATTTGTATTTGATTTGTAGATACCGTCGATCCATTTGGGATATATGATCGTTGCATCTGTAGTGTACATTTCGTGAGCCACTGACACTCATTATAAAGGGATATGGCAATATTCTGTGATGCACTTAGGCCTGCCCTTAAGAATGTGTATAATTATTAATTACTGTCTGGCTTAAAGCTTTTGGGGATTTTTTGTTGAAAGCTTTTGGGGATTTCTTGTTGTTTAAAACCTTTATACAACAATGGTTTACATATTTCCCTACAATATACTATAACTTGTGAAAATACGAAGCCAGTAACCCATCAGGGGCTTTGGGATAGATTCATCTGATTACGAGCCACTGAAACCTTGTCGTGGTGTAGATTCTTATGAAAGCCTCACTGATTTCACCACTAACAAATGGCTTGACACCCCTTAGATACTAAGAAACTTGAACTCTGCCATCTTTCCCATTAGAGGAAAACAAGACTATTGAAATAATCAAATGTAACACTCTCCATTTCGACCTCCTCCACCTTCCAAACATCATTATAATTCAAAAGGCCTTCCATAAATTGATCTTCTACCTTTCTTACCTCTATATTAGCTTCAAAAGCTCTTTGTAAGTTCTTCTCAGCTTCCTCAATTTTCTTTACATAACCTTCTCTCTTGTCTTTTGCTCAGCTTTTAGACCTCTGAATACAGCACCAGACTTTAGTTGTGGTGTCTCTTGTTATCTCAGTTCTGAAAAGTCCCAATTTGCATAATGATTCTAGAGAGAGAGGGGGGTATTTATCTCTTCTTGTTGTTTTTGTCCATTTATGACTACTCTTTGCATGCAATGCAGTTGGTTTAACCTTTTGTTTCTGTTTTATTTCCTCGAGATTCTATATAACTCCGTGACAGATGTGCTTGAACAGTTCAGTGGTTGATGGTAGAAGAGGAAAGGACAGAGGCAGGCTGGGGTAGTAGGAAGGAGTTGACAATGGCATCGACTTCTTTTCCTGGCGGGAAGCCATTGCCAGTGATTGAAACTTCTTCTAACTGTGTTCTGTACCCACCGCCACAAGCGACGTATGAGGATATCATAGGCAATCCCAAGATCTTCATGACATCCCTGGAAAAGCTCCATTCTATCATGGGAACCAAGTTCATGTAATTTTCTCAAACATCGGATACTGCTTTAAGTAGATAGAAGCCTGATTCTGTCTCATATTTCTGGTCTTGACATGAAAGTAAAATCTGCTTTTTATTGTGTGAAAGATTTTTCTGTATTTATTATGTTGCCTTTTAGGTGCAATTAGATTCTGTTTTTCACTTTTACGTCCCCAAACTGCAGGATCCCCATTATTGGAGGTAAAGAACTAGACCTGCATCGGCTTTTTGTGGAGGTCACATCTCGTGGTGGCATTGAGAAGGTAAAATGCTATGAATCTTGTGAATCAATGTTTTGACCTTGGAGTTGAGAGTTTTTCTTTATAACTTTATAAGGCAAATTGAAGATGGTTATCTGAGCCTACTGTTTCATTACATGTTTTGGTTTCTTAAATGGAAAAAGTGCCTGGATTGCTCTGGCATGATAAATATTCCCACCTAATGAGTTCCTCTTTTGGGTTGATTATATTATTAAAGCGTCGATGAAGTGAAAATCGAGTGCTGTGCCAAAAAGCCTCAATGGTGATTGGTCTTTGGACCCATAGTGGTTTCTGGCTTGCCCATTGGTGGAGGTAGGATACGATTTGGAGCCTATATCCACAATGGCGCGATAAATGTCATACATTCTTGCTCCAAATTGGAGAGATATATAGCTCCTTAAGTTATCGTTTGGGCTTCATTTACAATGACGTTGTGTTGTGCTATTGCATTTTTGCCATAGTTTTTGCTTCTATGATGTTCCTTCTCCAGGGTTGATGGGTAAAAGTTGAAACGTTCTAGTAACATTGGAAACACACCGTTTGTTTCGAAATCATATAATCATGTGACATGTTCGTGTAACAATCTGTATTTTACAGGTTATAAGGGAGAGAAGATGGAAAGAAGTAACATCGGTTTTCAACTTTCCTTCAACTGCAACGAATGCATCTTTTGTTCTGAGGAAGTATTATCTTTCTTTGCTTCATCATTTCGAGCAGATTCACTTCTTCAAAGCTGTGGGATGGACGCCAATGATTTCTGGCAAGTGTCAATAGAGTGCCTTTTTTTATTTCTTTGTAGAAATCCATATCCTGACATTGATTTTCTAACATAACAACCTTTCAGATTCTCCTCAGTGCCCGAGCCCAGCGCCGATCCCTACGCAAGGGACGCCCTCTATGTGGCCACCATCAGATAATCAGGCAGCCATGTCCCAGCAACCGCGGACTTCCACTACCGAACTTCCAGCAGGTGCATTCTATGGTCTTTTAGAAATATGCACAGAAAATAAGTCAAAACAATACTTTGGTGTGCCTCGACACCTGCTTTACGATTGTGATTTCTGTCTGTGCTTGCTTTGTATTTTTATAGTCAATGATGCTCGGGTTCTCTTGTTGAATGTTGAAGCTGTGAACAGCTTCTGATCAATAATTAGATAGTACTTTTCTCCCTACAGTTGCACCAAGTTCGGCGTCAGCAGCAGGGTTTCCGGTGATTGGAGTCATTGATGGAAAATTTGATAGCGGGTATCTTGTTACTGTTACCATAGGATCGGAGAAGCTAAAAGGCGTGCTTTATCAGTCTCCTCCCGAGCAACCTGCTCAGCAACAAGTATTGCAGCCTGATGGTGTTTTTGCCAAAGATGGTGCTACCTCCATGGCACCAAATGCTCATCGCCGTCGTCGTAGGAAGAAATCCGAGATAAAACGAAGGGATCCCGCTCATCCAAAGCCGAACAGAAGCGGCTACAACTTTTTCTTTGCTGAGCAGCACGCTAGACTCAAACCATTATACCCAGGGAAGGACAGAGAGATAAGTAGAATGATTGGTGAGCTTTGGAATAAGCTTAATGAGTCAGACAGAACAGTAAGGACTGCAATACTCTTATACTTTTAAGGATCAGTCTCATCTTCAGTAGTACCCGGTGTCTGATAATCATCTTCACTTGCAGGTTTATCAAGAGAAAGCCATGAAGGATAAAGAAAGATATCGAATCGAGATGGAGGATTACCGAGAGAAGCTGAGGACGGGCCAGGTCATCAGTGATGCCGTGCCATTACAACAGCGTCTTCCTGAGCCAGACCTGAACATGGTCTATGCTGACAAAAATGAAGAAACTGAGGGTGGCGAATCTCCTCAAACCCCGGATCATGATACTAGTTACGTCGAAGGCGACTCCGGAGAATATAAAACTGAGGAGAAGGAGGAGGATGAGGAAGAGGATTCGGAAGAAGATGCATCTCCACAAAGGGTTGGCAATGTAGATGTTAACGTTTTGGTCGAGGAGGAAGGCGGCGGCGAGACGAGAGCTGCAGAAGAGGATGTTAGAAAAGAGAGTAGTACAGTGGTGGTCGGCGACGAGAAAGAAGTTTTCACCAGAGATTCGTTAATGGAGGAGGCAAAGGAAGAACCAGAACCACCACCACCACCACCAACAACAGCCATTAGAGAAGATTAATCAAGGTTTCTCTCCGTTTTTTTTCTTTTTTCTTTTTTCCCTTGTCTTCATCTAGCTTTACTGCCATTCCTTCTAACCTTCCATTTCTCTTTAGCTAATACTTGTAAAGTTTTTTTCTGAGGGGAAAAATTTTGGGTCTTTCCATCAGTTTTGTTTTGGGAAGAAATTTTGTTGCCTTTTGTTGAACATTTCAACTGGATTCATTCCCTGGTTTGTTTACAAGTTAAGCTGGCTTATCAGTTCTAAGTTCAATCTGTCTGATTCATTGTTGCAAAGATCTCTCCATATAGAACGAACAGAACTATATACTGACTTGAGTATAGTTTAACTAGTTAAGATATATATTTTCGACCACAAGGTCGGGGTTCAAATCTATACTCATGTATTGTTGAATTCGGAAAAAATGATAACTGGAAATATAGTTGGATAGATGATCCAAATCTACAAGATTTATATCAACTGGTTAACAGATTCTGTACAAAGAAAGGAACTGGTCAATGGGCTTTTTCTTTTTGTTTTCTATTTTCTGTTTTTAAATTTAAATGAAGTTTGTTTATTCAAAAGATTCAATGACCAGTAAACCTTGGATTCAAATAATTGATAATTCAAATATTATTTTCAATAAAATTTTATTGAAAATTTTATTGGTTGAGTTGTTTATGGGTTCCCCTAAAATAAGTTGGATTGATCCATACTTATTATTAACTTTTTATGTTTGAAAAATAGGTAAACAAACATTGAAACTATTAATATTTTAATTATCAATGTATATTCTAAAAAATCATATGTTCAAATCCTCGCGTCTTTGAGTATAATTCTATGTATAAATTCTTTTATTTTAAATTGAATTGCATTTTTTTATTTATGAAATAAAAATAATATAAAAATAATGTACATAAATAATTTTATTTATTTTATTTAAATAATAAAATAATACGAAGGCTAGTACCCTTCGAGAAATGATTGGTCTGCCATATGTTATAACGTACTTTCACTCATTGTTAAGTTAGGTTAGGTAGGTATATTTCGATCTCACACTAAACCAAGAAATTCAAAAACGATAAATCTTGAAATATGGAGAAGAGAGGGATAGGGATCAACAAGTTATTGAAAATCGTTTTTCTCTCCTAGTCGAATTGCTTTATCAATGATTCGATGAATAGATCTATGTTAAATCCGAGGTCGGTATTAATTAAAAAGAATCTGAAGTAATCTTTGTCATTATAGACCAAAATAGTTATTATTTTAAAATTCAAGTGTTTGAAATAGATATTTTGAAACTTAAATAAACAAAATGTAATTTAAACTAAATTAAAATAAAAATTAATCACTTTCCAGCTCTTTCAAAAAAAAAAAAAAAATCACTTTCCAACTTCNCACTTTCCAACTTCGTTTGAGTACATTTTGAACAATACTCCCTAAACCCTGCAATGTACTTTGTGGAAGGTAATATGGAAATTTTTTCCCACCACATCCATCCATTATATATATATATATATATATATATATATATATATATATTTATTTATTTAGTACATCCATTGTCATATTTAAAAATAATGTGAAATAGATAAGATAAAATAATATATCGATGTATTTGTGTGAATGAAAATATCTTTTGTTTTTAGTATAACATGTGGGAGCGGGAGATAAAACTCAAAATCTTTTAGATTTGATATATATATCAATTATTGCTTAATAATATTTGCTTTTTAACTTTAACTAAGTTTTTTYCCCGCATTCCCTGGGATTGTAGTTCAATTGGTCAGAGCACCGCCCTGTCAAGGCGGAAGCTGCGGGTTCGAGCCCCGTCAGTCCCGATGGATACAAATCTAATAAAAAAATACATCATTCAGCTCTTCCTTTCCTGTGAAAGAGAGAACAAATAATATAACTTAATTTTATCCCAAACAAACGGGATCTCTCTTACTTTTTTTTCCACATTTTTCATAAAAAAAAATGTGGTAATTCAGGGAGGAGCAGAGTTTATTTGCTTGCTAAATTATTTATAGAATAATACTTACCTTCTAATTAATCAAGAGAAATCTCTTATGCTGGAGAGAAAAATAAAAAGTAGAGGAAAAAAAGAATAGATTTTTAATTTTTTAGTGGTGGGTTAGTTGGAAATTTCTTGCTGAAGAGTCTTTAAATATTATTATCTTTTCTTTTTCCTTTTTAATGATAAAAAGGTAAGTAGACAACTTCTAAAAATAATAATAATAAAAGGTAAAAAGACCTAAGTCGACTTTAATTAAAGCTATGACTAGAAAGGGGAATTTTTCCCACCATTCTTCTCCTCCTCTGGACGAAGCTCTCTTTGTGGCAGCGCATGAGCAACTTGGTTAGCTTGGCATTTCACGTTTGATGTGGAGGAAAATAGGAAACCAAAAATATTTTTATGCTAAATTTCTGCCTTCAGGATTGTTTCGAGATTGTCTGATTCTCGTTGACGGGTTAGGAGTTAAAGTATTATGACTATATACATCGTCGAGGATTAAATCGAACAGGACACACGTGCTGCAAGATGTAGGACGACCATCGACGGTTATACGTCGTACACTATAGGGGAGAGAGGAGTACGTCTTCACTCTCGTGGGAAGCACGTCGAGCACTGTGACCAGGCAACTGCATCGACAGGATACAGACCTGCAGGCGAAGGCACCACCCACTAATTGTCGGAGACATACACTCCTAGGCACTGTACAGCTTGGCGTACCCCTGCCATCTCAACTATCGTCCTTCCTATTCGTCTTTCGTGTTTATAAAAGGAAGGATTCTCAACTTTTTGAGATAAGTGAAAAACATGTCACTAAAACTCTAAAGGTGTCTTTTCCTATGTCTTACTCTAATTTCTAACTTGAGCGTCAGAGCCTATTAGGTAGCACACCACACCGGTATATATATACATATATACACACACTTACATACTTTCTATTCTAAAAAGTTACTTTCGAGTTACAACAAACAATTATCCTCATCTTTCCTTCACCGGTGATAATTGGGTAAGAACTCTCGATAACTTTTGGTTAATTTATTTGTACAAAAATACTAGCGAGACCAATTTATTCATAAAAAACAATAGAAATAAACTCATTCTAATAAATTTCCTAAAGACATTCCCAAACAAGCCACATCTTCATATGATGGGCTCGACGTTAAAGAAGAAGTGACATTTATTAATAGTAACGAAAAAAGTAGACCAAATATAACCAAACATCACATAACATTAATATTAATAAGTTTCAACTTATTTAAATAAAAAAAAATCCAAAATACCCATATGTTATTTTAAATATTTATTATAAATTTTTTTTATCTTTTCTCAAAACTATTCATCAACGTCGATACTGTATCATCAAAATATGTGTCTTAACGCGTTTAATTATATGTGCAATTTAAGCTTTTGCTTGGGAGGCAAGTAAAATAATGAGCGTCCGATTTGGGTCGCTCTTAATCGTCACCGTCGGTCCCTCTTTGCCCAAAATTTCCAACTACAAGTCAAAGTAAACGCTCAATTCTTCTTCTATTTCAGTCTTCTCAGTCATTCTCTCATTCGCCGTCGAATCTCCCTCTTCAGCCATGGTTCTCTCCCGTCTCCGCCGTTGCTTCTCCTCTAAATCCTCCTCCTCCTCCTCCTATAGCCGCCTTCGCTCTCCGCCGCCGCCGCCGCCTCTCCCGATCTACCACGGACACTACAGACCGCCGCCGATTCCGCCGCCGCGTCCGGTTCCGATCGCGGCAGGAGCTTATCGACAGCCGGAGACTACGACCGGCGACGGAGCTTGCGGCCGGGTGGAGGAGGCGCCGCCGCGTCGTGTTTCGATCGGCGGCGGAAGTGGAGACGAGGAGAAAACTAGCGCGATGTATCGGATTGAGAACGAGTTGAAGGCGATGAACGAGGAATCGGCGACGCACTGCAGCTTTGGGCCGGTCGGCGGCGACATTTTCCGGTGGGAAGGGTTGGTGATTGGGCCGGCCCATTCTTGCTATGAAGAGGGCATTTTTGGGCTTTCAATTGATTTGCCCTCCGACTACCCCTCTACTCCTCCCCAGATCAAGTTTCAAACCAAGGTTAGTGATGCCCACTTTTGTCATTTCACTCACCTTCATTTTTTATGGCATATATATTTTTTTTCAGAAAATTTCACGTCCATTTCTATTCCGGAATGGGAAATTTTGTAACTGTAATTTTGCTTTGCTTTTATTTTAGTTCTTTTCTTTATTCATTTTACTTCCAATAGATATTTTTTTAGTCATAATTTCAGAACTGGAATCAGTAAATTTTTAAAATGTGAGCATAATTTTATATTAAAAATTTTTTAGTGTATAAAATTTATGTTTAAATTTTAGAAATAGAAATTAAAATGGTCACTAGAAAATTCATAGATGAACTTTTTTAATTAAAAGAAAAAAGCTAGTTAATTGTTCGGGGTTAGAGTTTGTTAGTTGAGATTATTCTGGTCATACATTCACAATTTTATTTTTATTTTTTATTTTTTAAAAAAACCAAATGTTGAAAACATTTATGATCTCTGGTATAAAAATTATGTTTAAATTTTATTTTATGAGAAATTATACTTTAATTGAACTCAAAACAAAAAGTTATATACTTTAAGGGTTAATTAACTATATTCTAAAATTGTCTAGAGAGAAAATATTTAAGAAGAATTATGAAATGAAATGAGAGTAGTTAGATATGTACGTACATGAGATTTTATCTTGTATGAAAGAGATTTTTAATTGATAATAATATTAAACTAACTAGTTATATTATATGTTCGATCCAAATTAAGGTTAGACAAATTTATAAAATAACCAAATTCAAACTTGAACAAAAGAGGAAGAAAATAAAGAAAGAAAAGAAAAAGGTGTCAAAAGGGGAGGGGAAAGCACAATCAATAAAAACCACTAGTGTCCAATAAAAGTTGATACTAAGATGCTTGAAGTCCTACAAAATATCGAAAGAAAGCACATTTACGCGGGTTGGAGGTTTAATGAAAATTCTTGATGTCTCTAGAGCTAGTGTTTGGTAACGAGATGCCGTCCACGGTAAAATTTAATACTACTTACATGGAAAAAAAATGACATTCTAAAGAAGTTTTTTCTGACATCTTAAGTCAAGCTTCCAAGGTTGGATGCTTAATTAACACGTGAAAATGTTTGATGTTATTTTGAGCTAACATTGAGATGGAGCGACCTCGTACAGGTGAACCTAATCTAATACTACAAATATCAAAATAAAGCACATGCGAGTTGGGGTTCAATGAAAACTCTTGATGTCTCTAAAAATAGTGTTTGGTAACGAAATGCCCTCAACACACAAAATTTAATACTACATACTTGGAAAAAAGTACATTCTAGAGGAAGTTTTTCCGACATCTAATTAATTGAAGCTTCCAAGGTGGACAACTTTGCAGGTTGGGGCTTCAATGAAAACTCTTGATGTCTCTAGAACTAGTATTTAGTAATGAGATGTCCTCTACGGACAAATTTAATACCACATGAAAAAGAAAATACATTCTAGAAGAAGCTAGTTTTTTTGATATCTTAAGTTTAGCTTTCAAGGTGGGAAGCTTAATTAACAAATGAAAATTCTTGATGTCATTTGGAGCTGACACCGAGATGGAGTGAAGCATCCTCATACGATAAACCTAACCTAATACTACAAATATCAAAAGAAAGCACATTTGTACGAGCTGGGGTTTCAATGGAAACTCTTGATGTATCTAGAACTAGTATTTAGTAACGAGACGTCTTCTACGGGCAAATTTAATACTACACACATGAAAAAGAAAATATATTCCAGAAGAAGTTTTTCCGACATCATTGAGGGATCCAATGTCTTTGGTGTGAACCTAATAATACAAATATCAAAAGAAAATACATTCTGAAGGGGTATGATGTMTTCGGTTGATCCTCTCAAGTGAAAAATCATCTCCACCAAAGTGGATAAAGCTCAATAATTGAGATGCATTAATACCACATTTATTGAAAGAGAGCACATTCAGATTTTTCCCTCCAAGATAGAAAGCTCGACATGTGAAAACTTTTTATGTCTTAATTACAATTGGAACTAAAATGCGTAAAGTCTCGTTTAGATAAAACTCGATACCTACAGAAATCTAAAAAAACAAGAACGTTAACATTAACAAACATGTCTTTAGAAAATAAAAAATTGAGAATGATAACTGATGTATTTGTTACATGTTGTGTAGTTTTTCCTCATTCACTCGGACTCTGATTTTTCTCTCAATTTTTGATCTAATTCTATCATATTTCTTCAGTGTCCTATCCATAATTTTTCCAATGTTTTGAATCAAGCCTTTAAAATTAGGAAGCTTATAAGAAAACTCTGAAGTCTCCTTACTAATGAAACCTGATCCAACAAATATCAAAAGAAAAAAAAAACATTCAAACATCATTTGAATCAGTTCAAATTTTGATTACTTTGTGAATTTTGGTGTTTCATATTTGAAAGCAACCACATTCCAACTTGTGCTATACCCAAATTTGCTTAGATTTTAGGCCAAAATTTGTGCCATTTCATTGTCTTTCAAGTTGTGAAGAGTCTGTTTAGTAACGTTCTTGTTTCTTGTTTCATTAAGAAATTAAGCATTTGACATTTATTTATATGTTTTGTTTCTTGTTTGTTGTTCATGTTTCCAACCAAGTAAAGTTTCATTCTTTTTTCAATAAAAGAAAATGAAAAACAAAAAATAGTTACCGAATACAATTATGTTTTGCTTTATTAAAAAAAGAGAAAACAAGAAACAAAAACCATTACCAAACGAGCCCAAAGTTCCCTATATTAAAAAGCTCCCTTTGTGCCGGGTTGAAACAGATCTTCCATCCCAATATAGAAGAAGATGGAACCATTCACATTGACATATTGAAAGAAAATTGGAGCCCAGCACTAACCATTGAGAAACTTCTTCTTTCCATTTGCTCAATCCTTTCAAATCCAGAGGCTCAAAACTCCATTAATGAAGCTTCCATGATGTACAAGAATGAATATTTCAGATTCTGTGAGGTTGCAAGAGAATGGACCAAAATATATGCAATGCCAAGCTGAAGTGTGTTCATCACTCAAAAAGGTATATCCTTTTATTGTAAATTTATGTGCACCAAAAATAGTATCTAACTAGACCAATTGGTTTTAGGGATTCATAAGAATGAGATCATTTTCATCTTGGTGATTGCTTTTACAAGTTTAGGAGTCACTTTAGTTTGTATAGTTCGATTGGGTCTACTCAAACAAAACTAAATCGGTTCAGTTTAGTGAGGGTCAATATCGGTCGATCAGTTTTCGATTTTGAAAGGCCTTGTTGAATCATTGGTTTGTAATATATATATATCGATATATAAATTTTGTTTAAAATGATACTTGAAGATCAAAATATTAACTTTTATCTCACAGATGGTCATACTCTTCTTATTTGTCTTAAAATATAGCCTCACTACCAAAGATTAAAATATCGATTTTGACCCATAGTGAAGTCTAAACATTTGTTTAGTCAATCTGAATATAGATAAATGTTTTAAAAATGGATTGCGAAGGGTTTGAATTAACTAAAATTGAACCCAACTATACTAATTAGTATGTCAAATAGACTATTTCGATTCTATTTATTTCTATTTAAAAAAAACTTTTTTTTTCAATTTTATAACGATTGAATGAGACTTCACTTAGCCTTTCTATAGTTGTTCTTCCCCTCCTTCCTCACTACGCTTCGCTTGACGATCTTGTGCTTTTATCTTTTACTGGGTCATTAATGCATCAATGGAGTCAATTGTTTCACCAACCAACCTCGACTTTTATTTTTATTATTCCTACCGGATATAAAAACCATAAGACTATTTGGTCAGGACGAATGAGCGGATGTGCAGCATGCTCCGGAGGAGATTGGTCGGTGCTTGTTTGCGCGCGCGTGAACCAACCCAACTCTCCTGCCTATCGGTGTCTCGTCCCTTCGCTTCACTCCTCTATTAACGTAAAAAAAAAAAAAGGAGTGAAAGACCTACCCGAACAATTGTGAGTCAAAGTCATCTAAACTTGGTAAATAACTAACTCTAGTTCATTGTGATTTTGTCCTATTATTTAAGATAGAAAAATATTTATTTGCTTACTCCTATTTATTTTTATCGTGTAGAAAAAAGAAAGGTAAGAAATTTTCTTTTTCAAAGTTGTCAAATTTTTATTGATAAAAATAGGTGTATGGTCGATGTATCGTTAGAATTTCACACGTCAACCAAGTCAGTCAAGAAACTTACAAGAAAAATATGGGCAACAAAATTATTGGGGTTTCAGAGAAAAAAAAGCCCCTTCAAATAAATCATCATTTCAGAAAGGAGAAAAAAAAAACACTGAGAAGATTGCATTAATTACTATAGCAAAGAACCAATGAAAGAAATAACAAAAAACCAGAAGAGAGAGGAAGTAGAGAGAGAGAGAAATTCATGAATCAGAAACTATAACAGAGCATCCCAAATCATGTCCATGTCCAAAGAAGGCATTCTACTCAGCTGAAAATGTTGTTCAATCTCTGAAATTCCGTCCGAATTCTTCTTCAAATCCGCCATTTCGGATCCGCCGGACATGTTTTCCGGCGGATACCTCGCCGGGTTCTGGCTCAAATTCAAGACTTTCGAATTCTCCGGCGAGAATTCCTTCTCCGGAAAAGAAGAAGAGTCAATGGCGGCGGCGCCGGCGGCCGTCTTTTTTCTACCGGAATTCCCCTCGGAGATCGCCTGCAACTTGGCCTCGAGCAGCGCCGCCGTGGTCCGGTTCAGGGAATTGCTCTTCAGCCGGTGCTTCTGATCGGGAAAATTCAAATGAGCAAATTCCCCGCGCAGAATATAGGCGGCGGTGTCGTAGGCGACGGCAGCCTCCTCGGCGGTGTCGAACGTCCCGAGCCAAACCCGTGTCCGGTTCCTCGGCAGCCGAATCTCCGCCACCCATTTCCCCCAGTGCCGTCGCCGGACCCCTCTAAACAGCTTCCCCGACGCCGCCGCCGGCGACTCTGTTTTCAGATTCCCCTGTTTTCTGCCACTCTGTTTCATCGGCTGCGTCTTTGTCGCCCCCAGCCAGAAATCGCTGTAATTTCTCGATGCAGCCGCCACAGGGGCTCTGTTTTGGCTGCTCTTCAGCCATTGGAGCCCTGTTTGAGCTTCAATCCGAAATGGGGTTCCAGGAAACGGATCAACAATGGCGGGTTCTCGAAGAAACAGAGTCAGATTCGGCGAATCGGACCGTGCTGGAAACAGAGACGGAGGAGTAGAAAGAGGCTCAGATTCTTGCTTTGGAAATGTCTCCAAGAAATTCACAGGAATGAATCTTTCTCCATCTGGGCAAAGATTATTACTTTTCAATTGAATCTCAGATTTTGGAGAATTGGGAGAAGAAGAAGAGGAGGAAGAAGAAGAAGAAGAGGGGGATCTTGATTGGTCAACAGAACCGCCATTTTCAGAGCTTGAAGCTCGAGCTATGGAGGCCCGGAGGATTGAATCGCCATAAAAGTAAGATCCAGAGATCAATTCTTGGAAAGAAGAAGGTGGGAAATTCTTCTGAATAAGGCTTTTTTGTTCTATCAATGGGAAATTATCATCCATGATTGAAAATTGAACACTCTGCTTCATAAGGAAGAAAAAACAGAACACAAAGGAACCAAAGAAGAAGAAAAAAGAAATGGAAGTACAGCAAACTCAAGGCATTAATTATGCTTTATATATAAAACAGAGAGAGAAATAAAAATAAAATAAAAATTACTTCAAGTTCATGTGATGGGTATCTACTTTTTGTTCATATAATAAAGTTTATGTTATCATCTGAGTCAGATCTGTAATTTTTCTTTTCTTTTTTTTTTTGTTTTGTTTTTCCCAAAAGAATCATGTAATTCCATTTGCCTCCTCCACTCCTGAGTTCGTGCATGCCATTTCTCTTATGTTGTTTGCTTTCTGTGATGGGCGAGCCAATCAGAGGGTGACAGCTCAGCCCCGTTTTGCTGACCTGGCAGCCAGGGTTGTTTCATGGTGATGGATGAATATCCTCCATTGAAAGTAACTTAAAGAACCTCAAACTTGAAAGAATATCACTTAGTGGCCTATTTCTTGTTTTAGTTCACTTCTCAACACCCATGTGTCAAAGTTCCTCCTTTTTTCACTTTTTTACTTTCCTAATTGCACTTGAATATGTTGGATTTTAGTGTTGGTGAGAACTTTCCCAAATAGTAGTCCAAAACAAGAATGATAAATGAGAACATAGACAAAGATAGAGAAGTGTGAAACGAGATCGATCATTTTATATTGGTTTATGACTAGTTTTGTGTTAGTGATGTAGGATTCTACTATAATTGACGAGAGGAGTGTAAAATATGATGACAATCACTTGAGGTGTTTCTCTCTCGACTGCTTTCTTAAAAACATTTGGAGAATAAACTTTTTGTAATTTCTTTTAGTCAGCACAATAGGAAGCCTCTAATTGACAAATGGAAAAATAGGTATTTTAAAATATGTATTGAAAGATAAAGAAGTGTGAGAGATGTTTTGATCCTTAATTTTTGTTTTCATAAGAGTGGAGATCAATTCCTCTTCAAATAAAAAATGTTCTTGTTAAGACGAGCATAGCTCAACGGTAATTGACATATACTTTCAACCAAGAGGTTGTGAGTTCGAATTATCTCCCAAAATCTTAATGAAAGAGTTTGAAATGAAATCGCTAGGATTCAAGAACCTAAATTTCTAAATTATATTGAATGGAAATTGGCCATATGGTTGACACATTTTTAATAATAAATAACATTTAAATCTCATTTTAGTCTTCAACGCTTTTCACTATTTATTTCGTTTTAGTCTTTTATTTAACTTTCAAATGTTTTGTCTTAGTCTTTTCACTTTGCATTAGAAAAGAGAAAACTATTGTGATCCTTATCTTATTTTTTAAAAAATATTTAATAAAATATTTGCATAGTGCCCTACGGTGCAAATTATCAAATTTGAAAATAGGTGGTGTAAATATTTAACACATAAATCAAGTGTTTATAAAATTAAAATCGAAGAACGCCCAACAAAGTTTCTAAAAGTATAAGGTATCAAAATAGAATTTAAATCTATATAAAAAGAATTAATAATGTTAATATCCTACAAATTGTTTTAATCTTTATAATGATTGGTCCTAAACCACAGTAAATAATCAAATATAGAGAGACAAGACACTTTGTATATATATGATATTATTATCAATATTATCAGAAACACAAGCATTAGCCTTTGGGGAACAGCTTAATTTGGAAATACTGATATGAAAATTGTTTTCTATGAGCAAAGGAGGAGGAAATTGTAGGTGGGTTTTGTGAATAAACAAATGGGCAATAAATAAATTATATATACTCTACATCCCAATCATTAATAAAGTTTGTTTGCTATATATTTTCATAATTGAATTGTTGTTCTTGTTTTTTCATTATGATATTACGTGGTTTGTTTGCTTTTAGTTATTTAGTTTTTCTTATTCATGCTCCTGTGACATTTCTAGTAGATCTCTTTATTTGTTTTTTTTACTTTGATCTCTCAGACTATGAGATCTATATTTTCCTTACAATATACATAGTCTTTAGTTATGTGTTGTCTTTCTTATTCACGTTCGTACGACGTTTCTAGTAGATCTCTTTGTTCTTTTTGTACCTTGATATCTCAGACGGTGAGATCTATATTTTCCTTGTAATATACATAAGTTTTTAGTTATGTTATCTTTTTTATTCGTGTTCCAACGACATTTCTAGATCTGTTTGTTCTTTCTATACCTTGATCTCTCAGACTATGAGATCTATATTTTCCTTGCAATATACAAAGTCTTTCACGTATATGTGTATGTGTGTGTATGTATATATATATATATATATATATATATATATATATATATATATATATAATATGAGTTTTCTTTTTAAATTTTTTTTTTGAGTGTCTTTTGAGATGGGTTTTGGGTCACTCAAGAACCTCATGAGCTAAAAAGAGACAAGAGACAAGCTCCAAAATTTGAGCTTGAGAAAATGATTAGAATTCCCTTTGAGTGGTGGTAGTTTGCAGCCATTTTAAGCTACTTGCTTTGGTCAATGCCACTTGGGATAATAGCCATTCCCAAGCAATCTCCTCAC